AGATCACCCTATAATCTGCAAAGAAAAGACCTACTTATATGAATTCAGTGGTAATCCTACTGCATTTCGATGTAGCAGTAGGGATTTGGCAACACAGACACATGATTTGAAATGCTTCTTGTAGTTATGATAAAACATTGTTTCATATTAATAACTACAACACACCTTATAAAATTAAAGTCTGTAGTTTTTCCATTTAGAGTAAGCATAATCAAGTCAAAGTGAAATGTGTGAACAAAAACAGTAAAATCAGTAATTTTACGTAAAAATGAGCAGTTTTTCTATAGTTTAGAAAGAGAAAATGCTAAATTAAAATGAAATGTTTTTTATTTAAGGCGTTCTTTAATAATAAGACCAGGGGATGCAGTTTAAACTCAAAAAAGCTAGTAACTCAAGGCATTTTAGGGTTTGTCTCAACCTGTTTATACGAAATGACTGAGTAATCATTTAGTAAAAAGCTCTCTCTTTCTTGAAAGAATAATAATTCATCCCATTATTTACATCTCCACTGAATGGGTGTGGAGTGTCACTATGCCTTGTGGAGCTGCTGCTGCAAAAAAGAACACAGGAAAAAGGTTCATGTTTGTCCTTGTGGTTTCTGTATTTCTTCCAGGTGCTTCACTTTCCACCCACAGTCCAAAGACCTGCAGTGCAGGTTGACTGGAGTCTCAAAATTGCCTGCAAATGAGAATGTGAACCTGTCTGCCTATGCGTTAGCCTTGTGATAGACTGGCAGGTGTTTCTCTGCTTCCCTGTGCATGCTGGGTCAGGCTTCAGCTTCACGTGATCCTAAATTAGGAATAAGTGCATATAGGAAATGGATGGATGAGTTTTAATAGAAGGGTTTAAAGCCCATGGTTTAAGTCATGCTTCACAGGTTGTCAAATCTGAAAAGAAAACCCAAACACGCATTCTTAAAATGCTGGAAGCTTTGCATGTTTTGGTGACAAAGTTTGACCAAAACTCCTTTAGGTTTCTTATTAGATTGGCTAGTCATAAAAAGTAAAAACCAAAGTGCTTGCGGACAAGTTTTCAACTTTCTACTCAAGAATAATGTGGAATGCAGGCTTTTCAAGCAATTTTTGAGCCCAGTGAATTCTTGTTTTTCATTATAATTGATAATATGTTTATTCCTCAAGTACGTTTCAAACTATTTGGTTTGTTAATTTATGCTGATTAACGGTTTCCCTGGTAATTATGCTAAGTAACTAGAACATAAATCTTTTGTGTGTGAATTCCTCAAACAAAAAAAAAGGGACTACAAATTCAGTGACAAAGAAAACCAGATAAATAACCTCTTTCGATGTAAGCAAATACAATATATCTTAATTTGAAATGTTGCTTACGGGCAGCAGGAGTTACTGAAATATGATGGGTTGAAATGATGGCTCACCATCTCCCGAACAATCTACGATCAAAAGATCAGATAGTAATTTTTAGAACAGTGATAAAAGGTCCCATCAGGGGTCACAGTGATCAAGAAACATCTGTAGGTCTATCGAAAGAGGTCTGTTGAGGTGGGTTCATCTACATTCCCCTGACACTGTGGAGGACCCCTGGAGGACTGGACAGGACATAAGCCATAAATGATTTTCTTAGCACCGCGGGTCCTTACTGTGCTCAAGGAAATGACCAAGGTGTACAAGATAAAAGCAAATGTGTTTTAGAGCCCCAAGAGTCGGGATAACATGAATGACAATGTAGAGGTTGTAAACTGAAGGAGCAGAGGAGGAGAGAAGCACAGTGAGAAGGTGAATGGAAGTCACTGTATGTGTATCAGGTATGAATTAGTTTTTATTTATATTTCTTGGACTACAAGTGTTGAGTTTATGCAAAGCCAACACTCTACTGGAAAAGTTTCTGTGCGATGCCTTTCTCTATTGAAAAATTACTAAACTAGTTTTTGTAATTTCTCTATTTATTATTAAAGCAGGTCACAGACCTATTACTTCTCAAGATATTGACTAAACCTGCCTCTCCCTCTCTAACCCAACAAACCTAAATTGGAGAATCGTTGAACAAACTTTTGCATGTAATCATACACATATTTTATTCATGTAATGATATGCAATATTAGATAAATCCTTGTGTGTCAGCAGTTCCTGCGTGTGTGCCCAAACACGAGAGTGTGTGCCAACAGATAGCAGCATAAGCTTCTAAATTTAGGCCACTTAGAAATGCATATTTCTCTTTAGTAAACCTGCTGTGCATTTTGTCCAGTTTAATTACACTGAATGCTGTGCCCTACTTACTCTATATCTGCACACTTGAGTTTTTCTAGTATGGGACCGAACAGGCAGTAATAACAAATTTCAGACTCTCCTCCTTGACAGATAACTTATCTAACTTTGAAGGCAGTAGCTCCAAGATGGCTAAGCTGCTCCAAAAAAGTGAAGACTGTCAAGTATGACTTGTGTGCGGCGAGGAACGAGCTGGAAACTGAATTGCACTGCAAGTAGAATATTTCACATCCACTGTATCATATTCTAATAAACCACATTCTCCACCAGTGGGGGGATTATGACTGTCCATTTGTCTTGGCTGGGCCACCACTGTTAGGGATATACTCCCTCTCTGTGTCTGCACCCCACAAAGTTAAAAGCGACGCTGGCGACTGCCGCAAGTCATTTGTCTCTGGTAACAGTGGTTTGCAGGAAGCCAGGACCACGGCTCTAGCAGATGATACATTATTGCTATCACTTGCCCTTGTTTAATTACATCCATGTATGGGGTCTCAAATTGTAGCCCTCAAAGCTTATCCATCATGGCAAACTTTAACCAAAGCCTGTGTTACCGTGTCATATAATCCCGTGTTTGACAGAATGTGCGAAAGAATATTTTTGTAATAATTTAAAAAACAGTATGGTTTGTCAGCTCATGCATTAATATAGTTTATCACAACCACAGAATACAAAATGAATTCTTTGTCCTTTTCCTGGAATACAAATGAATAACAAACACCCCATGTAAAAAACCTTTGCAGAGGAGCTTTTCCTTCCTTTGAGTGACTGATTTTGATTCAGGCCCAGGGTTGTTTATCTCTCATGTTAGGTCTTTCATTTACACTACCTTTATGTTCCATTATAAAATTACATTCAATAAAATTTCACCTCTGCAGAACATATATCGAGGCTGAATAAATATATAATAAACTGAATTCAACATATGATATAAAGGGGCATTTGTATATTTTTTTAAGATGTGTGCTTTGAAAAGACCTTTTGTTTGTGGATACACATTAAGTGTACTGATGCTTTACAATATATGTATAAAGACTAGACATGCTAATGTAACAGAAGCAGAAAAACACCATCTAGCCTCCAAATAATGCAGATGGTGGGATGTCCATTTAATGTCCATGTGATTTCCATTCCCCTGCTGTGTTTGGTGTACTTTCATATTACTTTTTGGCCATATATGGACTGGACAAAGTTTTAGGTTTCTATTCTATAATAAAAAAATTTTTCTTTCAGTATCACAAACTAAATTCACTATGTTGGCTGTGAATGTGTGATTTTACTGTGGTGGCACCACAGGTTCAAAAAAATCTCCATAAAGATGGACATAAATTCACTGACAGAAATACACACATTTCCAAACTCATTTTGCAAACTGACAATTTGCGGAGCAGAGATAGTTATGTTTGTGTTTATTTTGCCCCCTGCAGACAATCAAAAAAACACACATAAACAAACTGAAATGAGCTCTGCATGAAGGCTGCTACATCTTGCCATACTGCTACACAAGAACTTGATGGCCAATTGATAATAGACAAACATTTTTAGTCTCACTTTCTGACTAATGTATATTTGGTGCAGCATCATATTAGTAAACATGAAACAAAGCAACTCACCAAAGAATTTACTGTATTTGTCTGACATGACAATGCTCTGGGAAACACCAAGCTTCTTTGTAGTTTACATAATGTGAAACTAGACAATCGAATCCAACTCCCTCTGCTAACACGCTGCTTGATATGCTGGTATGCTGGAAGCGTTAAGCTCTTGTCCTGCAACTGTTTCCTTTTATTCACATTGTTTCATTTGTAAGCACTCCACATGCGGTACGATCGCTGTGTATTCATACAAGAATGTACTCCTCTACATGTAGCAGGTGCAATATTAAGTCTTGTCATTTTCTCTTTCTTTCCCCCCTTTGATGAATTGTATAAGAAAATCCCTCTGTTTCTCCAAGGAAGGTAGCAAAAACGCAACAAATCTACACTGAAAAGTGGAGCAGCTCAATCTTGACTGATACTCTCCCTAATCTCTGCTTGAGAAAGTGAAATAGATCAAGGTTTTGAGTTTGCCACCAAACTCGATCACTCCCTGGATGACTAATGTGTTGCTGGGACAGAAGCTTTGCAATGTGTGGTGCGATCTCCCAGGACCTTTGTGGCTCTCACATGCTGGACATCCCCATTGAGACAGTAAAGAATAGGTGGTCACTAGGTATGGACACAATGAAACAGAACTCAGGGACTGGAACAATTGCTTGAGCTGTCAGAGGGTGACAGAAACTGTAATTAATGATATTTTCTATTTTTAAAGAGGAGAATGAGCATCTGACAGAAGCATTATTAATGAGTGCAGCCTTGTTGGAGGGAATAATGGCAGTTTATTAGCAGTTAAGACAGATTTAAAAGATCTCTCTCAAACAAAGGGTTTAGACACGTTGAAAAATGGAGACAATCTGCCCAAAAGATCCAATGGGAGAAAATGTTCAATACAACCAAAATGTTTTGTGATCATATTCTTTTTTCCCCCTCGAAACCATCTGTTAGGCAAGTCAATAATAGAAGAAGTCCTTTTTTTTATTTCTTGAAAAATAAGTTGATAGCAAAACAGTATTAAACTGGAGATTTTCTTTTAAGCTGGAGATTTTCTTTAACTGTCTCTGTGATAATCAATCTACACTTTATTGTTTGACAGGTACATAGATTGATATTCGTAGCTTTAGATATGCAAACATAAGTGACTTTTGAGAGAAAAGGTGATTTATTTAATGAGGATTTTAATGAGAACTGCTAAATGGGTCGCATGGCTACATCAAAGATTTAAGATGGTAGTATATCATATATTCAACACAGCTAAAGTATCCATAAAACAGACAGACATCCATTGAACCATTTATACTGGTGGCCTCAAACCAATTTGTATTTTAGGAAAAAACAAATTCACAATCTGTCTCTTACAGCAATAAGTATGTTGAATAAGATGATTTATTGACTTATTTATTGGAGGTTATTAAATTTAATAGACTAAAACAACAGGGGAAACAGTTTGCAGTCACCTATTCAACAAATCAAACTTGAGAAACGATGCAGTTACCCTGAAATTATTAAATTACTCTTTACAATATCTTATGCATTTAGGCAGGAAATAAATATTTTTTGAAGTAATGCTGATAACAACAGCATCACCACTGGGTGAAAAAGATTTGTGAATCATATTCCGGCAGTGTTTCAACAGATATCGTTCTGTTTCACTCGTTTCACCGGACTGAAATATGGCTTCGATGTGACACTACAGGCATATGTCATTGAATAGAAGTATTAGATGATTTCCAGAAATGAAATGACACCCCCACCCGAAACCTATTTTCAGTTCACGTAATTGATTCTCATCCAGCGAGTTTGACTGTATTATGTTTGTTTGAAAAGTTAAAAGAATTCAGCTAATTTCTCCCCAACCAGGCAATACTTAACCAGATTAGAGTGGCCACTTCAAGCTTTGTTGATGCATCCAAGTGAGGCAGGGCAGCCCAGCTGCAAAAGCTGATCAAAAGAGAGAGGGGGAATGAATATTAGCATCAAGTGCTTCAGCGAGTGACTCAGACAAAAACATTGAAAAAAACATCATTATTAGACACTTCCTTTACCCATGTTTGGAAGTGAATATATCTGTTTGTCAAGCAGCTGTGTGCATCCATACATGGCATTGATTCGTACTTTAACCAGCATTATAAGGCAATTCCTCTTTTCCCTTTTGCATCCCGTTATTGGTAATATGCTAATGACATCCGCTGTGATTAGTGATTTTCTTCTAATCTTTATTCCACGGTGGCCTGAGCAATCACAGAGGTAGAGCTTCAAGATTTTACACCAGCGTGCTTCTTCTGACTGCTCTTCCCGTCTGCCCCGACTTGATTTAATTTCAATAATAACTAAAAATTTAGATTCATAGGCCACTTTGGTACACTACTGCGCATTTGCAGATTCAGGAAACACACACACAATAATATAGGAAAGCCTTTTTTTCTGTCATGACCTAATTTCGGTGGCGCAAAAGGTGTTTAAAGAGGAAGTGGCAGGTTCATCACTAATACCTAATGCCAGTCAATGTGTTGCAACTGAATCTGGTAGGTCTGCAGTGATTTCCTATACATTCTTTATTTATTTGGCACCATTTACACAAAATTTAATTAATTTGATAGCGAAGAGGAAGCTTAAACTTGTCAACAACAACACCAACCTTACCTTAGTATATCTCATTTCAAATCTATAGTTATTTAAAACACTGCCAGAAATGACCTTTTACCATTTGGCAAAAAAAATCTTTTGTCTAAGGCATTTGTGCAGCACTTGTAGAGATAATATAAGAGTCTATTGTTTCTGTCACAGAGTGTGGGGGCTGTCCAAATAATTCTGTGGTCTCACACTGCTTCAAAGTATTTGAACTGGAGGCCATCCAGAACACAAGCAAATAGATTATTTGGTTTCTTTTTCCTAGTTAACTGTCAGCATTAAAGGGGAAAAAAAGAGGTTACGCAAACTGTATTGGTGGCAATTTAACTTCCTACTCAGAATTAATAAGGCATCATTTCAAAGTTCAAAACTCCCCAGCGCTAAACACTGAAAAGAGGTCTGTCATTTATTCTTGTAATTGAAATACTTTCATAAGTTTTGGCTGAAGTCTATAAAATGTCTTATAAAATGTCTGAATGGAGGCACTACAGGGTGCAGTTACTGGTCTGAGTTTGCATAGAAATGCACCTGGAAGTCCTTCCTAATTGGCAGCCATCTCATTTGGCTTTGATACCGCACCCCATCATCTGCATGAGCAGAACAGGCCATTGTCTGGGGAGGAAGTACAGGTGAGTAACAGGCTAATCACCAAAAACAATACAGATGGTGCTCAGGAGAAAGCAAAAGTTCCACATGAAGCCATAAAGCAACTCCGGAATAGTGTCAATTACAGCATATATTCATAATATAGTGTATATCCCTGTAATGCTTTACCCTAGCTTGCGAAGAAGTGTATTACATAAAGAGGTAATGTGGGCAGTAAAACCAGAAGTTAGACAGCAAGATCCAAGGACCTTCTAATTAAGAGCGCCATCTCAGGGACAGCATGGGGGGTGATCTAATGGCGAGTGGCCATGCATGTTTGTACCTGGAGCGTGCTTTATGTACCAGTGTCTCGCAGCAGGACCTTAGACCGACCTGTCTACTGCTTTACTGCTGAGATATGAACTGAAACATGAAGCAAGGAGCTAGTCAAGCACCATTACAACCTGAGTAAAAAGTGTTTCTGTTAGGCTGTACAAACAGCATCACCGGTATGCGGTATCATAGGTGTGTCTGGCTTTGGATTCAGGCATGCTGCTATAGAAGGTGGGGCAAAAGCATTCACACCAATCGCAGAAGTGAAAAAGACCTGCCGTGTCTTCCTGTGATGGGGTGAAAAGTAGCATTCATGCTATTAAAGTGGTACAGGCTTCATCCTCTCCTTAGGAGTCGACTGTAACGCATCTCAGAGACGTAAGGTCCTAATTACAAACAAATGAACTTGAACTCGGACACACACACAAGAAAAAAAAGAAAACAATGGCATGTGAGACGACAGTCTCAGACAGGTGCCTGATCTCACGTTTGATATTTGACCTTTCGTGACTTTATGCTTATTCCACCGCACTTGCCTCATAACTGCACATCTCATTTGTGTAATCATTCTGCAGGGACTTGTCGATTGCGAGCAGTGATTAATTATCTGAGCGTGCTGCAGTCAGCAGCCGGGCTACACAGTGTATGAAAAGCAAAGTCTAACCAATGAGAAAAAGAATCCATACTGATGCGATATGACACAGCAATGACCTATTGACCAAAGTATTGATATGCACAAGTCAAACGGATAATTGAAAATGAGGAGGATTGCACTGTAATGGAAGAGGAGTTCAGGATGATAATTTTCAAATGTTGACAATTATTTTCAGTCCATTAAAGAATAAATGAAAAAAAGTATATTTAAAGGGTACATTAAATTAAATAGATAAACCCCTTTAAAAATTTTTGCTGCCCTTTAAATAAATATTGGTGTGTTCCATGTTTTGCACAGGTTTAACTTTGTCAGACATTTGTGCAAGAATGTATTGGTGTGTCATAACTCTTCTGAGGGTTGAAAAATGGATTTAGTTAAGTGCAGGAAGTATTATGTTTAGCTCAGGGCAAAGTGTTCTGTTGAGTTATAGCAGCCGATTACCCACAGCTCTGGAACGGGGACTACATGGGGTATTTGTTTACACCAAAGGAAATGAAACTATTTCCATTTAACTGCCCTGATTATTGGCCTCTTTTGCATCAGTCTTCAATACATGTGATACGTTTCCTACTGTTACTGTGTGTCTCTGCTTTGACCGCTGCAGACGGAAAAAAAAAAAAAAAAATCCTCTAAGCGAGGAAATAAAAAAGTTGTCCATTACATGAAGCATTGTGGAGGAATCCTGTTTCCCATTACATCTTCATAACTGACTGAGTTTTTATGTAGAGGTGCTGATGCAATTAGCCATTCCCCTCCTAAATGTGTGCCAGATAGTGCTTGGGTTTCAAAGAGCCAAAGAAACACTATCTTGTTTCGATGTCAGCAGACCTGTGCTTAATTTGGCCTCCTTTATCTAATAGGATTTTTCTTTTTCAGACACCATGTGGTTTGCTGTTGGCTGAATCCAAATAATAGAGCACAACAGTCAGACATAAAGAGCCAAGAAACTCAAGTTTTATTTGTGAAATTGCCATGTTTTTATCTGTAACTTTAAACCAATTTATCCTGAAGAATCCCCACTGCTGCAGAGACTATTATCTATCTGTTTCAGTTGTGAAAGTAAAAAGTATCCTCACTGGAAGCAAAGGCAAAAATATTGAAATAAAAATGTAAGTGTGTTCTAAAAAGAGCCAAGTGTTAGGCGGAGCCTCCAAAATGAACAATGAAAACATATGTTCTACTCACATTTATCTCCATCACCTGACAACAGAACTGACAAAAGCCCAATATATCTTGATTTCCAGTGTGCATATATTCCTCCCACTACAGTGTCAGCATAATCCCTGCCAGGAGTGACTGCTGCATAGGGTTGTAAGAAAGGCAAAGAGGAGAGGTGTGTGTTTGTGTGCATGAGTGTGTGTGTGTGTGTGTCTTTGTGTGTGTATGGTGGGGGCACTGTTGCAGACGATGATGAGGATGATCCCTGATAAGTTAGAGCCATGGCCTCAGCCCTCTAACATTTATCTGAGAAGCAATGGTGATGGCTCCATCACCAATCTCACAGATAAAGACACATCCTGACAGTCCCTGGTTCTACTGCCCCCTAGAGGAAACAGCATGATAGGCAAATGCCATAACTGCATCTGAATGCATGTTCCAAGGTGGTTGTAGATTTTATGAGTCTCTTATAAAGCAGCTGCAGTTTAATTACAAGTGAAATGCTTTTCTCCATTTTGCTTCTCAGACTTTACAGTACAGAGTCTACAACACAAATCAATAAGCAGGTGTAGGCTATTCAGAGTCAACTGACTCTGTGCCTTTTATTTACACACAAAGCACGCTTAACAAAAGAAAGTGTAAAAAGTGAAATATTCCTCTGAAACTGTGTATTGACATTGTCCCTGCACTGTTACAGCTTTTGAACAAATCTGTGAAGCAAATCTACAATCTACTGTCTCCACAATATTAAATTTTTATCCACCCATTACACTAAACACAGATGCTCCATCCAATTGGCAGCTGGCGTGTTGTGTATTTCCGCTAATATTTCACATTAGCCTGTGGCACTACATAACACCAGATGATTGCTTGTCTGTTATGGTATATGATGAGAAGTGTTCAGGGCTGCTAATGTGAGACGTCTCTGTTTACCACTTTGATGGATGGCCTCCCTGATAGGACCTGAGTAACGTTCAGGAGTGTCACAGGAAAAAGATGACAGATGGGCCCAGCTGTTTAAGATATCGACACTTTGACCAGACCATGAAGACATTAATCACAGCACAGCTAACCAGCACTGAGGGAGAACGGGTGACTTCTCTTTTTAGGACACAAGCTGTGACTGGGGGTGATATACACTGAATAATGGACTGTTCAGTGATCAGAAGTTATAAATATTATGGCATAACACAAACAAAGACAATGCTGAAAGCTCTGAAGAACTGAAGCAACCCAAAGAACTTGTAACATGATTATCTGTCACAAGAGATTAGGGGCCAGTAATAAAGATAAACGGGGGGTTGTTGTTGCTGTAATATAATAGTAAGTGATGGCAGATATCCAGAAATCAGCATCAAAATGAAAAAGAAGACACTAATGGCTCTTGGGGAGCTTCAGTCTCAGTCAGACCATGTTGTCATGCTGATAAGACACAACTGGTGCTCCTAGACTGTGAATGGATACTGGCGTGTTGGCTCTATGTGGTGCATAGTGATTAAATATTTATCCACAGTGTTGGAATCACCAAGTAGTTACACATACTGTAACATATTGTAGAACATAGCTATTCATGAGCAAT